TGTGTGTGTGTGTGTGTATCATGGCAAGATAAACCATTGCTCAATTGCTGTTAGTAACTTTACTTATTTCCTCTAACATTTAACCACAGGACCAAAGATACCAAAGAAAAGGTAACAGACTAACACCCTCTTGCTAGAGAGAATTAATATATGTCTATACATTAAACTTTAAAACAGAAATTGGAACTGATTGCTTACCTGGATCTCATGCAAATGAGCGATGTGGAACTGAACTGTGGGGAAAAAGCAGAGGAAAGAAGAAGGGCTTACTTTATTATATTACTCCCATATATTACAGACTTACCCCATCGACCTCAGCGGGTACAGATTGCAAACAGTATGGAGCGCAGATGGGAGGGGGAGTAGGACAGTTTCTCCAGAGTGAACATGTAATCTGAAATCACAGTGTGTATGGGCAATGTGCTTGCAAGCACTTCCAGTTCTCTCTCTCTCTCCTTCTCCATTCGCTGTCTCCTAGGCAACCCCAGTCTTGGGCAGAGTCAGCAGGGAAACGGCAGCAAAAGGAAAAATTGTTCCGTAGAAATATTCCTGTGCCCTTTCAGTGTGTGCCATCTACCACTGACAAGCTGGTACATCAAATCTAATATTACATTACACAGCAGCCTATGGCTCTGCCTCAGGTAATTACAACAGTACTACTTACTTTCAGCTTTGGACAAAGTGCAGAGGTTGGAGTCGATCAAAGCCAGCTGAAAATGCTGCAGAGAAGAAAGGAGATGCTTTATTATCAACAGAAATGCATACACTTTTACAGGACCAACAGTCTGCATAATTCATGTTACTAACACAACACACATATTCCCTACTGCTAATAAGTACGCATTAAGCAGTGGATTGCTTATAAATCTTGATGTTTTCAAGGAAATCAGGGAGAATTTCTCTTTCACTGAAAGCCCTGACAGATCAACAACAAACCATGAATGAACCCTGCTGACTGCAACATGAAAGGACACTGATAGCTTGGGGGGGTGCTGAACCATAGATATTCTTGTCTTTGGATCACACATATCGCTCCAGCCTCGCCCCTTTCCCTCCTCCTGCCCAACCATAAGAATGGTTGCCTCAAAATGAGGCACTAATAATGGCATCCTATACCATCAACTGAACTTAAGACAGCACTGCTGGGGTGAGGCACAGGTCTGCAGAGGCTTAGTCTGGCTGCCAAGGCGTGGCACTACTGGCCAGTATCTCAAGCCAGGGTCACTGAACTGATGCATACCCATGAATGCATCACACAGCTAGAGACAACTCTCTTCTGGCCTCCTCCTGACCACCTTAGGGCTTCAATACAACTCTATTACCTCCCTCATATGTTGACATGTTAGTAAGCTACCATTATTTTGACATCATGCTTTACTGAAGTGCACTGTAGTGTTTCAGGCTATCAAATGTGCAGAGCAGACTTTCACCTGCTGGTAGGATGAAAATATGAAATTCCAGCAAGGTGTCTGATGCTGTGGATCTGTAAAAGGAGATCTATAGGTGGCTTCAAGGTGACAGGTTTCATTGCAGTTACTAAATTGCATCATGACCCAATGCAGTCACACAGACACACCGCTTCATGCATTTAAAAAGGCGCCGCCAGTCTCTCTTATCTGGGTCAGGGAAAAACTCACAGCTCTCAAGCGCGAGAACCTCCTGAAAGCACACAAGAATCTAGCACACAGTCACAGAACAGACTGTACTGCCATTGTTGCCGTACTCCACTGGTCGACTGTGCTGATAGAAAAAAAACTGGCAAATATCAGTATCTAACATCTAAACTGGGGCTAAAGATAGCTGTAACCACACACACAGACACACACACACACACATATATATAAGAGAAACCTGTAGCCTTGCTGCAGCAGCAACACAGAAATCAAGAAGTGTACGGCTGGATCTTCCTTTGCACGCTTCACTCAGGGCCAGCAGAGCTTCTCACACATGTGCGCACACACAGGAAAACACAGAAATCTGCTTAGAATGAACTCCTTTTAAGCAGAGCTATGCAAAACATCACAAACACTCATCACAGCCACATGCCTTAATGTTAGCGAATGTTACTCACGCACATGCGTTACCTAGATTGCTGGCACACTCCTCTTGGAATCCCACTGCATCTTCATGTGGCTCTCTCCCTCTGTCTCTTCTATCCTTCCCTTCCTTCTCTTTTCACACTTGCTCTACCACCAGGCAGATAATGCAGCAGGATTGTCAGCTTGGCATTCCACCTCCCTCTCCATGTCTCGCCTTCCTCACTCTCTCTCCCTCTTCGTCTCTTTGCTATCATTCTTTCTCTCCCTCTCTCGCTCCCCCCCCATCCTGGTGTCACTGATTACTATTCAGCAGACGGCTGCAGTGGAGAGTGGAGAGAGATGACACACAATACCTCAAAGCTGGAACAGGCAGCGCACACCACCTCTCCCTTCTGTCTCCCCCCCGTCCCTCCCTCTATCTCACCTCCTTTTCTCAGCTCAAAGCTCTTTTCTGTGGCTGCACGGCTCTACAGAGACAGCCAGCTCATCACCTTACCAATATACAGTGCACAAACACTCCGGCAATCGCATTTCTCCTCCTCTCATTGGTCAAATTTGCAGCCACTAATGAAATGAAGCTAATGTGGGTGAAGAATACAAGGTAGGAGAAGTTATAAGGGAAATTGCTGCCTCCAAATTAGGTTACAATGTAACTCAGAGACTACAGGCATCTCTCCATCACTTGATCTCTTCCTCTATCCAATGTGCTCCAAGGGAAAAGGGGGATGGATGAAGAGGAAGCACCTTCCTCTTCATCCATCCCCCTTCCTCCCCACGCTCATCGTGTGCAGCAAACTGTCTTTTCTAACAGTTTCCTGTTTTCCCCTCTCCAGTTCCCTTCTCTCTCCTACCTTTAGTCAATCTCAGCTCCTCTAAGCGTGCACCCCCCCCCTCCCTGTAGATAACTGGGGCAGTCGTGTGTGTGTGTGTGTGTGTGTGTGTGTTTTGCTGGCAAGGAGCTAGGACTGAGAGGGAGGGAGGGGTGCAACCAAGACAGAGTGTGGACGTGCAGCACGTGCAGCCTACTTACTAGCTCAATACTGTACCACCACAAGCATTAACATACAGTACATCACCTCCTGCACATGCTTTAATTTAACTGTAAAAGCATAAAAAAATAAAAAGTAGCCCATCATGAACATTTAAAGGAAACCCACCGTAATAGCCTAGCAATAAATATTACCTTAAATGTACAATATTCCATTTGCTTGTTGAAACTGTGTCATAGCTTAAAATGGAATTATAATAACATATAGGCCATGCTCCTTTTTGGTCTGTCTCTTACTGTTTGGTCTCGAACAGTCAAGCAAGCCTTGGTCAACTTTCTCCTTTCCTGTACTTAAGATATGCTATATGTAAGGCTAATCTATGTTGAAAAGACAACTACAATCAGAACTAAAATGGGAAGACGGGCCTTCATCTTCAGAACGGTTAAATTGGACTGTCAATTGTAAGATATAGTTTTCATCACACTATTGTATTGTACTTTCAGTAGTTTGTAGAGTATTGGTACCTCAGGGGTAGGCAACCTGAGGCTCTTCAGCCACTCTCCAGTAGCTCCCAAAGCATCTTTCTTTCTTTCTTTCTATCTTTCTTCTGCTCTGATTAGTTGTCTTCTTTCAGGTACAGTGGATTCTTGCAAATGCCATTAGGAGCCAGGGTAACCAGATTTTTTTCACATCTGTCTAATATTCTACTGTCATGATATAGTGACGGTTTCAGCAAATATGACAAAAGTTAGTTTTTATAAACCTTAACCTCAGCAACCTTAATAGTGTGTGGACAGATTTGTTTGCTGTCACTACCGATGCTGCTGGCTTTCCGGTATATTTGATGACTGTGGTGAGTAATTAGCTTTATAAAGCTCAAATATGTTTTGCAGGTTGTTTTTTATGATAGTAAAGGTTGCTGACCCCTGAACACGTATAGATGAATATGTGTATAGGTAGGTACATTACATTATCAATGTATATAGGTTATATGTGTGTTATGTATGTTAAGTATGTGTACATCAACAATTTTGTGTAAATTATCTATGAATGTTTAATAATCTAATAATCTCTTAAAGACTCTTGGTAGATTAAAAAGAGATCAAAATAAATCCAATCAAATATAGTCACATCTTAAGTTAGCTAGCTAATGTTAGCAATATGCTAGCTAACAAATTTACATCAACTGTTAGCTAGCTACTTACATCTGAAAGCTGATGTTAGCAAATAAAAATCTTTAGTTAGATAGCATTTTGCTAATATTAGTCAACTTAACATGTGACGTGCGTCATTTATCTTTGAACTATCTTCACAATGTAGTTGTCTTTTCAACATAGATTAGCGTAGCACATAGCATATTTAAGTACAGGAAAGGAGAAAGCTGACTGAGGTTCTGACCGAGGCTTGCTCAGCTGTTATTGAAACACAGAGCAAAAAGGGGTGGGACATAGCAAGGGTCAATTAAAGAATTAACAGGAGTTAATCCATTCATCGCGTAGCCTTCTGGTTTAACTGTAAAACAATGCTTTGCAAAGCTTAATAGCATCCTAATGCATTGAAATGCATAATAAAACACTCCTGTGACAGAATGTCTGGAGCAGGACAAAGCCCAGGATCAGATAGCAGTCTGTCCCTAAAGGCAACCGGGACTCTCAGACAACAATAGATCCATAGGCTGCAGTCAGAAAGCCCTTCGTTACTGTCTGGACATCTATGGCTCACAGGTGTCAGGAGATAGAGGACAGGGTTAAGCGCAGACAGACGGGACAGATGATCCACCAGCCTTTGTTAATCTGAGGACTAGGGAGGTCACATCCATTTAGGCAGGAAGGAGGCTTCTATGACTACATATCAGGCATACAATACGGAGTGGCATGAATGGAAAATGATTCCACTGTGTTACGTTGTTATTATTCACTGGATGGACAGACTGAAGCATGAAAAGAGGAAAATCTATAAACATTACTTTAACTTTTTACATCATTTATAAACCATTATAAACCCTTCAACCACGTTTCTCTCTCGTCCACACTCCCAACCTTCCACCAGTTTGTCACATGCACCACCAGAGACAATCTATTATCTATCTATAATCCATGTATCACTGTGCCACTACTACTTTAACACTACTAAATATAGTTTACCTTGAAAAGACTCAACGTGGTTTTTGAAAGTTAAATCCAACTGATAACTGGTTCTAAACCTTAGGTCAGGCACTGACTGAACTGAACCAATATAAACCTCACTTAGATTTACCTTTAAACTAGATTCGTAGTCTGTGTTGACTTTGAACATGAGTCCCAGTCTC